TTTCAACCGACGCCATTCAAACTGCTCTAGACGCGAAGCTCTTTTTATGCCATATCAAGTGAACTGGAACCCAAGGGCTATAACTATCAGAGACAAAAATGCGGGACTAAAATGTGGGGCTAGTTTAAGTATTGAAAAATTGGCGCCTTATTTCATGACGTCATAGTATAGGAAAAACTGTCTATGGCTCGGACTGGTTTATCCGATGTTCCTGGAAGCTGATTTAAATCTACCTGTATAGGAATTTATTGATATAAGCTTCTGCACTAGCTTTAGCGAAATTTCAAGATCTCGGTAACAGGTGTGATTCCACGGAATCTGAAAAATAATTACTATAATTCCGCGGAATGCCTGTGGCATACCACGGTAAAATCCGGTTGGTTTCTTTTTCGTTGCGTGGACAAATTGTATAGCTATTCAATAGGAATGTGTAAAACCGTTATTGATTTTTATCTTATATAAACATTGGTGGCCGGATTGTGCGTTCGGAGGTATTTTCGTCCCGATTTAGAAAACTATGAAGCATTTTTACGGTCAAAATTAAAACAGAAGTTATGTTATGGCGTTTAGCATTTCATCGGCCACTCGTTAAATTACGTTTCAACGTAATAAAATTTACCAATTAACCTCTCACCTTGCGTAAGGTTTATTTTGAAATCGACATCGCGCAATGGTCTTGCAATACTACAAAATTAACAACAAATCGCCAGGAAATAACTCAGCATAGTCATTAGTTGTATTAAAGTGTTTAGGCCTGTTTATGCACTTATTGACGTTTCTGATAAACAAGTTACGGCGGCTGAAAATAGACGTCCTCAAAGGAGAAAATTCGTTGTCAGCGGAGATGGAAATTGAGTTTAACGAGTTTTTGCTCTCAGGAGGGATGAAACAGGCGATGAGCAACACGAGGAGATCGGTTGGTGGAGTTACAGTTTGTTCCAGAAGAATCGAAAGGTTTTTAAACTGCCACTCTTCGCTATTTTCAACAACGGTCACGGTTTCTTCGGCTGATCTAACTGACTAATCATAGTAGTTTACTGTAACTGCACAATTCCTTTCAATGCTATGTTCAGTAGCCAATGCATCCCACGGAATCGCCTTCTGCGCCTTAGGCGTCTTGTTACTATAGGAATTGGCGTTCTACAGAGGATGCGTTACAAATCTACCAATGGTGTTTTCAATGAATGTTTCTAAACGAATCGGCAGACTTCGAATTTTCTTCAGTGAGTCCTCTTATTAAATTGCGTAAGCGTTCAACTTATTCACCATACGAAAAAAAGTAATCGTCTCCTCCGCATTACAACATGGCCGCTCCGAAAATGCTAGCAAGAAAAGTTATCGTCCTAATCCTCTCTCCGCTTCATCAGTTTGTATGGTTTTGTCTAGGCCAATTGTATCACAGGAAATGGTAAAGACAAAACTTTCTATGGCCCGGACTGCAAACACCCGAGTGTTTTCTTCAGATTCTTCAACTTGCTTGGAAAGTTCATCTAGTAAACTTCGAAAAGACTAGATTTGTAATCCAAAGCGAACTTCTTAACAACCTCTACCGTCCGTTTATAAACATCGCCTTTGTCGTATTGACCCAATAATTGTGAGTTGAGAGAGGTGCCCTCATCAGAAAGGTGCTTCTTTCCGTTTTTAAATTATAAATCTCGTTATGGCATTGTCTTTATTTAAAGATAAGTCAAATTCAAACTCTGAATAACACAACTGGATTGTACGTTCTCAATGGAAACACAAATCTGGTGTGTAGTGGGATATTTTTACACTTTCTTCCGACGGTGCTATTCCCAGAAAGATCCGACGTTCTTACTTGACCTATAGTATCCGTATTCTCGAATTTCACAAAAAGCCTACGTGTATCCTTTTTTAATCGTGCGGGCACTCTTCATTGATAATCAATAATTCATAGTGTCTTCGCAACGAAAGGCATTAGGAGATTTTTGCAGTAAGAGATTTTTGCCGAAAACATTTTTTGTGACAATGGCTGCCCGATTTGTGGATGGCAAAGAAGAAGACATAGTACAACCGAAACTTAGACCAACATCTTCTAACAGTAGGCAAAAAGACGAAGAAGATATAAGCGAGTTGAGAGCTATATTTTACACACGCAAACAAAAATTTAGCCCAGTCACTTTTTCACCGAGCAGAGAAAGGAAAGTGGTGAAGAGTACGAACGAAAATGGAAAAAACTTCTCCTGCTGAAAGATGTTCGCCCAACAGCTAGCCCTAAGACTTGAAGTCAATGTTTGAACATTTCATAAACAGTTTTAGGCACTTTGACCATTTTATCTTGTCATTAAATTCCTTGTCGAATATACTACAAATTTTAATTTTTTTTACTTATAGCTGTACTTTTAGACATTATTATGCTTAAAGCCTTTCGCGATTCATTTTAACCTTTACTGATTATTTATTGATTATTTTTATATATTTCTTATTTTGATCACGTTTTCCGTTAGTCATAACTGAAAAAAAGTCTTTTGTGGCCAACAAGTCCATGCTCCAACATTACATATTATTTTTAGTCACATTTTTGTAAGTGATGATGATTTACGTCTTTTAAAATAGAGTTTTAGTTGCTATTGTGCTCATTGCTAGGACTTGGACCTGGGGGATTAACAATTAAAGGAGAATCTTCGAACCTGAGAGACAAATGTATGCCAGGCGCAAGTCATGGAGGATATGGAGGAAAAAGGGATGGAGGAAAAAGGGATGGAGGAAAAAGGGATGGAGGAAATGGTCTTTTTTATTTACCTAAACCGTATGATAGAAACAACACAGCCTCCCTATTAGGAGGAAGCGGAGGTGAGATTATTATGACTTTCATTTGAAGTAGAAAAAACTACTTAAATAATTACAACACAGTTATGTAGCACATGAAATGTCGGAGCAGATGTATCACAATTTGTGGTATCTTTTTTTAACTGTTTATGGCTATTCGCATGGATTTCCATGCGACAAGCTCGGAAACTTGGGCGAATACCTCGCTTATTTAACTGAAACAAACTAAGGAAACGTTTCATTCTGATATTAAGCCGAAAATACATTCCGGCCAAAAAGCGCATGCATTGTTGTTATCCAACAACTGATTAATCAATTTTTTTTATTCAGGTTCTTGCATAGAAGAATCAGGAAACGTTTCTGGTGGTGGAGCCCTGGAACTTGTGGCTGATAAAGGAGAGATCTTCATAGGTAATAAACTTGCTATATTATTCTCTAACAATATCTCAAATTTGTCAAAAGCTGCAATTAAATAGTTATTAAGATCAGTCAGAGTAAGAATTTAATTAATTCATATCTTTATGTACTGTCAACGATAAGACTGTGTTCACAGGTCTCAGCAAGATATGTTGAATTTGCTATCTGCAACTCAGTCGATTTGGTTGACTTGACACCTACGTGGTAAAGTTATCCTCTCGTAAAGAACCATTCGCCGATGCCCGGACAAAGCACTCGGTTATTTCAAAGAACTGGACGATGTCACTTTTTTTCATTAAAGTAACTGACTTAACATGGACAGCATAATCTATTAAAAGTTTTCTCTGGCCAACCAATAAATCCACGACAACAACATCCACAAACACATTCTTTGTTTGCCCTTTGAACCGTCGCGTCAGACCCTTAGACGAATGTTAAATTTAGGAGTATAGTTTTTTTTATTATAGTTTTGTTTTTCCAAATTTGATCCATGCTATGAGGTGGACACTCTTTACATTCACTTTTTAAATGTTATTGCATAACTTTATGAACAATGAAGCCTTTATGAACAAATTGCGATCCTTGGAAGAAAAGCGCTTTACAGGAAGCAAAAATGATCACGGCTGCATAGTACTCAGCACAATATAATTAATGGTTGCATCGTGCTCAACAAATGTCAAATGTCAATCTTGAGATTTACGAAAATCTTATTTTGACGCTACAAAAGTTTTGAAGACTTTCTTTCTATGTCTTTAAGTTCAAAATTTAAGAACGATTTCTCTTCCTAGCTAGTTACGGAAATTAATTGGTGACATTGATCCCGTTCCAGCCGCACCTATTAGAGCTGAAGCCCAAAGTAACAGTACAGTAGCGTGTTCTGGAGGATCAGGAGGACTTATTCGCCTTAAGGCTGCTAAGGTAGAAGCCTAAATTACGTAGTACCAAGTTTGTCAATGAACATAGATCGATGATAGAGTTAATTTTTGTATTATACAATTCTTATCATATTCTTCAGATACATGGAATTAAATATTAATTCGAATTTTACTCATTTTCAAATTTACCACAGTATTATCTGCTTTGACTAGTTTTAAAACTCAACAAAAACTCTGCTATGATTAATCAAAGGTACTTATACATAAAAAAGGAAAGCTAATTGTGGATGGAGGGAAAGGACTTAACCCGACTCCTAAATCAGGTTACTCTTTGGCTGGCGGAGCAGGAGGAGTCATTCAGATAATAGCACCTGAAGGAGAGATTGCTGCTGAGACTTTATCGTTGAAACGTGGTGAAAATTCCAATGCATTTTGTGAAGGGAAAGCTGAGGATGGCTATTTTCTCCTGGAAGGTAACTTGAGATATACTTAAAGAACCTGTTTTAAAATATCTGAGACAGCATCAAAGTTGCCAAAGTTGGTAAAGTTCTGTGACACTTGTTGCCTGTGTAACAGTTTATCATTTTACCCAAACTTGCCGGATGAAAAAGAAAGTTTATCAATCAATAAGAATTTTAAGACGGATTCGAGAAATACATTACTGAATGAATTTTTTCAGTTTGGATATTCAAATAGGTATAACTTCCAATCCTCCAACATGTTTCATACCTGTATGAATCTGTAATCAGATGGTGTAACACCGTTGAACAACGTAGGTTATGATCCAATGATGTCTCCGACGCTATTTTTCATCACGAATGCTGAAAAATAACACTCGATATAATTACCTACAAACAAAATGCATTAGCAGCTCTAAAAAGCAAAATAACGGATAGCTTTTATTTACTTATAGCAAATAAAGTTGCGGGAACTTATAATAACACAGAACCTTACAAATGGCCATCAAGACCTAATATTGGCTCCACCGGCGCTTCTTCAATGAAATCAACAGGTTTGTTTGCGTATGAGCAGTCTTTGTGTGCCGAGTAAGAAAGCATCTTAGAAAGCATCAGCTTTTCACCTTTTGGAATGCGAGCACCTCTTTATTGATCGCGCTGCGGCATGAGTGTTTTCTTTCTAAAAAGGAAAATAACGGATAGCTTTTATTTACTTATAGCAATATATACTTATAGGGCCATCAAGCCTCAATGTCTCTAGCACTGCTAATCCGAAGGAATCAAAAGGTTTGTTTGTGTATAAGCAGCATTTGTATGCCAAGTAAGAAGTGTGCTCAACAAATTTTTTTAATCTTAGAAAGTGTCAGCTTTTTACCTTTTAGAATGCGAGCAGCTCTTTATTGATAGCGCTGCGGCATGACTGTCTTTGCCTGAGAGCAACCCTAAAGCCTCGAGCAAAGCGAGCCGGTGAGAGGTCTACATGGGATCTGGCTCAACCCAAACAATACTTATCATACCTGTTTTAACCACATCCATTGATTGATAAAAACAATACCATGTTCTCGGAATGCGTGCGGGCTTATCAGTCGTCTGGTGACGTGATGTGTTTGCTAGCGCAGGATACGTAATGCATTACTGAGATCCAACCCATAGCAGCTACCTATGTACACATGTATGCAGCAATGAGCCAAGAGCCGGCCACCGGGACGCGACTCTTAAGTATATTTACTTCAGACACTCGAAGAATGCGATTTTTATAAACCACGCGGGATGTTGGGAGAACTCGAGAAAAGTTTGTAATCAACGATGCGCAGCCAAGTGGTTTTTAAACTTTTCGAGAATTTCTGAAGTTCTTTCACTTTAACCGCACAGCGAAAAATAAAGGCTTACAACGGAGGTAGCGATTAGTTAAACTGTATTTTCAATTGAAAATTTGATGTAATGGAAAAATAAAATCTTTGTCTATTTTTTTTGGCGTTCAAAGTGTCCTTTTCGTTTCCTCCAAACCAAAGGTAGTTTTTTAAGGGTATACAGGTAAACATACAATAGATTTTTGACTAATCAGAGCTCGCGTTGATCTAAGTTATGTTGTAAAAGCTGATAACCGGAGTTGAGAGAACTAATCAGAGCACCAGAAATGCAACATCCAGAGTTGAAAATGAAATAATCTCTTTTATTGTTGTTCATAATTAAACTGTTTCAGATGTAACCGTAAAAGATCTGTTAGAAAAGTTGCAAGAGATCGAAGTAAGCCTTTGGGTGAGTATGCCGCTCTCGCACGAGGCGTGGCGTTTGTTCTAGCTTAAGCGTAGGTCCAGTGATTGATCATTTCTTCAGGTGCTTTCAACTTATACAAATATTGTTCACTTCTGAAAGATTAACCGCATTTCCGAGAAGAAAAATTATTGTGCTAAAATAAACTTTACTGATCGATAGATGAACTGGAAACATAGGTAGATTCAAATGTATACTTATCAAGTCTTCCAATTTAATTAATCATAAAAGCTTTTTTTTTTCATTCCCAGGAAGATAAACATGTCAACAAATCTGCCATTCTCGGAATTATTACCATACATCAAGATCTTGCATCCATCGAAATGTTAAATAAGAACAACGAGGAATTATGTCTTGACACTTTCAAAATTTACCCTACCATCATGTTTCGGATAGTTAACGAAGATCCAGAGTTTGTGAAGGTAGGAATAAATGCATGGAAAAACGAAAAAAAAAAAAAATAAAAAAATAAAAGAAAAGCGAGTCAGTTACTTAAACAAAGTTGAGTCTTTGTTTGCCGAAAAAACATCCTAACCCATCTTCGGTTCTCTTCTACTAAACTAATCATTTTCTCTAAACAGTGGCGAGAACGTTCTTAGCTAACATGAGAAAAACAATCACACCACCCACTGAATAAATCTAGAGATATATTGCGTGTCTACAACCACATCCTAAGGTTCTCTTCGCTTTGATAACTGACCCTGGTTAAATTGTAATTGACAGATCCGATTTGTGAAGATGCTCCACTTTCCTCGCTTTAATGAGTAAAAACGTTTTATAGTAAAGCGATTTACTACCTAATGACAATCATTCAAGGAGAGAAAATTAATCACAAAGGAAGATGGTGTGGCCTTACGGCCTGCAGATTTAAGCTTGGGCTTGTTACTGTGATTTGTTCTTTAGATGAACGCTTTATTTCTACAATACCAATCACGTCCCTAGAGTATCAATACTCGTGAGTACCAGCGGAAACCTGCGATGGACAATCTTCTCTGAGAACAATAACACTGCCACAGAAGCCCGGCAGAACGAGCTATTCAGCCATTATTCAGATTTAAACTCTCTATAGTTGGCAGTTTTGATAAGCCTTCATTAACATTGGTTTAATTACATCATTCACTACTTTACAATTTGTTGTTTGAAAGTATTCATTTGTGTTCCTTGTTCATTTCTGCTCTCTTTGGTGATGAAATACTTTCTTATTGCAGAATACATCTCGGAAGGTTTTAAAGGCTGCTAATAGCTGTCTCGATAAGAAGAACCATGAATTTTGGAAAAACACTTCAAGAGTAATAAGCTTCAATTTTACACTTTTAAAGTAGTTTGTACCTGAGTTTGATCTTTGTGTCTTGCATTCGCATGAAATGGTTTCGCATCTACTCGTGTATGCATTTTATAGTTTTGCGGGCAAAGCAACATGCACGTTCTTTCTCCCACATCTTCTTCATCGAAAATCTGATAACAAAAGAAGAATAGAATAGTTAGCCAGAATATATCCTGGTTTTTTTTAAACTTCTATTCCCTGTTTCTTAATATAGATGCCCGACTTGATAGCGAACTTACAAGATGTCTTCGTTAATATGACAGAGGGAAACCTTTCACTCGGAATCGATTATACCCTTACAACGGAAAAAGTTTGTAAGTATTTCTTTATTGCTGCTTTTAATTCAAACTACATGAAGATGCCTTCCTTTCTCCAAGGGTTTGGTTTGTCTCCATCAGTCAGATGGTGAAGGATCTTTTTTTTTCTTTAAAACGTCCAACCACAGAAACAAGCACGTTGAGAATTTTTAACATCTCCTTTACGGGTTACAACAGTGTGCGCAGTTTTACCAGAAATCTATGACAAGTTTTAAATATAAGGAATCGCCATAAATATTATTTTAATTCAATCGGTCAATAATAAAGCTAAATCCTCATTTTAGCTCTATGCAATGTTCTGAATGCTTCTGACGGAGTTTAATCCAATGTACCTTTCGTTTGTTTGTTTTTATGTTTTGTGTCCTTCTGAGTTGTGAAAGAAGGAAGACTGCAAAAGTTTACTGTATGGCATGACAACATATTTTCCGATTAACAAAATTCACCAGAGGGCCAATACTTCTTTATATCTGATCATTGTATCATCGTTATAACGTCCCTTCTTTCTTTAAGTGGCCGTGATTAAAAGAAAACGTACCACAGCAGAGGAGGATTACATCATAATCCCTGACTACTCTGCTATAAAAGATGACTCGTGGAGCGATGATTCCAACTTTGTGAAGATCCCTAAAGCAGCAGTACAAAGTGCCAAAGGTAAGGTTTTAGTTATGCTTTTCTCTGCGAGGTTCACGATATTAAGGAATCAAGTCAAAGGACCCCTTCTATCAGAGATTTTATTCTTTGCCTTACTACACTACACAACACACCGCACCACACCACATAACACCGCACGACATAACCACATGTTACGGCACGTAAACCTCGCTTTACCTCTCTTTCCTTAGCTCCAATATGTACATCCTACTCTACATTTCTCTATACCATGATACTACACTATTTACCTTTAAAAGTACCTAGATCTGCATTACACAGCAAAAATTTCGCCCGCAGTGGTTATCGAGATTTTAACCAAGTTTTTGTTTCTCCTGTTCGAGATGTCGCCGAACGGGGCTGACTGAAACTCTCATTTTTTACTTTTCCTAATTTTGTCGGATTTCGCTTCCATCACCTTTGCGCTTATTCGCATGGACTGAATAAATAAGGACGATTACTGTAATGTATTAAAATGTAATATCTGTTCCCGCATAGGAAATTACACATATGTATTCCTACTGTATAAGGACGTGGAAAGTGGACTGCCGAATTCCTTCCAAAAGTATGCTTTTTGCATAAAATGATTTTTAAATCATTTTCAAATGTTGATCAAAAAGAGAATAATGAATTTATTTATTGAACTTATTTTCTCTCCTGAACACCGATGTAGTGAAACTGGAGATGAATTCCACGTTTCCTCTCTTGTGATGTCTTGTTACCTTGCACTTGGTGATAAGCCTGTTTACAATCTTACTTCTCCGGCCCTTCTGTATTTCAAAACTTCGGTAAGTTATCGCATCTCTCTAAGATATGCCTTCAATAGAGGTATCTAAAACTCACGAAGGCGTAAAATTGCATGGTTTTGTTTGGATATGTGAGAGAGTTTACGAAATAGAGAAGTGACGAAGGACTATCAGAAATATTGACATCATAGAGTGAGATAGGTCGAAATTGCTAGTAACGTAAATAATCTGACCGTTCATCCCTGCCACTGATGCCTTCGTGCGCAACTCTAGTAGGTTTAGCTTTAACTATCTGTAACAAGGATGACTACCCAGGAGCACCTGTCACTGTCATAGACTCATTCGTGAGCAGTAAGTGTCTTCCACAAATCTCTAGCCATCGTTCTGTAATCTCTTCCCACAAGTGCAACACGCCTTAATTTCATTTTGAATGCCATAAATTCGGAAGTTAATTTCATTTTTATTGAGAAATTATTTTCTTCTTTATCCCTTGAGATTCGTTAAGGTACTCAGCTAACGGTGTGTTTAAGCGTCTTTCCTGTCGAATTTTTTTAGTCCGCCGAAGGCCGTTCAAGGCAGTGCTCATTTTGGAATACAAACAGAAGGTAAATTTATCTACAAACTTCATTCACGATTCTGAAAACGTTCTCTATGCTCATGGATAGCACCCCCTTTTTTCGTAGAATGATGGTAATGTTCTTGCTCCTCACTGAGTGAAGAGGTACCAGCTGTATTGTCGTATACCGTTGTCATACTTTCTTACTGTTAACATAACTATAATGGAAATGAGGACTCTACAATTCCCCGCCCATTCCTTCGTTCTCAGAAAATCTGAGTTACCGCCAGAACAGATTAATTGGACGAAGCAACATCCCCATTCATGTATGAGCTACCAAGGTCTAACTAACCCTGTAGTCACTCGGCTTTTTCACTCCTTCATTGATCAAGCACATCTCCCAAGTCTATGGACAATAGGGTCCTTTCGATATTTTGACCGCGCACTCCTGAGAACTAGGTAGTACCATATAAGCGAGGCTTAAAGCACAAAAGATGGTTGACTCTGCTGCTGTAAACCGGTTCCTTGGTTAAAAGAATACTTAAAACAAAGGGGCATTCAAAGCTCAGGAAAACGTAAGGTTGAACTGGTAGAACGTTGTGAGAATAGTGAGGAGATGAAAGTCCCAAAAATTTCTGAAGAGGAAGCACCAGTCGATCCAAGAATTTCTACGAAAGAGCAACTGAAAACCGATGAGGGAGATCTCGCAAATCCGTTGGATAACGAAAACCGTGTTTTTTCCCAATTGACCAAAAACTTTACTAACGTACCGGACTTTAGATTCCCTGATCTTTTTAATTACTTGGTGGGAAAAGATCCCGTATACAATAGCGAAAGCCTAAAAAGTTACAAATCTCTATTGGAGATCGGAGTCTTCCACATGGACATGTGGAAGAACTTTGGTATCACCCACCTCAACCCAATGGTAATTACAGTTATTTTAAGTTTGCTGTAAAGCCAACTGAAAAATCCAAGACTGATGATGGTTCAGCAAAATACAGAGGGTTTTTCATTTTAAAGAAGGATGGAAGTGTCAATTCAGCCTACTGCTTATGCAAAGGAGGGTATGTATTTTCTTCTTTTGATTTCTGAAGTCTGTCTATGTGCTTAATATTCCATAAACATACGTTTGAGAATCAAAACGTTTGGTCTTTTCAGTTGTTTTTCTCTGTGATAAGTTTTGTTTTATTCAGATTCAAAGGTTTATATTTCCCCTGTAGCAGTTGTAACATGAGTAAAAAGTAGCTGCCTCCTGAATTGAAGATCTAAATCAATGGATGCATTATTTTAAGTCTCAAACCTTCTGGATCATTTATGACTTCAGCACTTATTATTAAAACAGTAGTTCAAAGTCAGAATCTGTGAGCCTAGCAACTGAACTTGGCTACTTTACAGTCTATCAGTGTGAACAATGTGAGATACATATTTGTCATATTGGTCCTCCTTTAAACAGGGCAGATGGAGGTTGCCAGCACATAGCAGCAGCATTGTTTGATCTCAAAGCAAATGTGAGATTCAATGATCTCCAATCATGTACATCAGGACAGTGCATGTGGAAAAAGAGAAGAAAGAGAAATGAGGGAAGTTTGCCCATTCAGGACCTTCAAACGAGTGGTAGTAACAGTGTGACATTGAAAGACCCAATTCACCCCAGAGATTTTAATGCAATTTGTATTCCTTATAATGTGGCTGAACTGTAACAAGATTTTAAGACTGGGTTGCGGGAAACATGTCCTAGCTCTTAGCTCTGCCTTTTTTATCTTCAACTAAAGGACCCAGGCAAACAGAGGAAGAAGTCAGAGCTTTCATCAGCAATGATGCTAATGTCTGTAAAGAAGAAAGTGTTCAAAGTGTACATGTGTATTCAATGAATGATTATGCGAAAGTGTTTGTTTCTGTTAATGCTGAAAAAGTGATGCCTACAGTTTCTAAAGAACTTGCAATTGAATTCCTTGAGTCTATTCCATTTAATTAAGAGCAAGCAGAAATGATCAACAAGAAAACTGTCTATCAATCCTAGTCTCAATTTTGGTTTGATCAAAGGGCAAGAAAAACTACAGCTTCCTCATTTTACACTGTGTGCCACCTTAGAGAGAGCACAGACAGAAGAAACACTATTAAACATCTCATGAATTACTGTCCAATTGCTGAAGATGCCATGCCGCGACAGTTGACATGGGGGCATGAAAAAGAAAAGCAAGCACTTGGTTTTTACATAAAAAACAGAACAAAAATCGTGAGAAGTTGTCAATAGAAAAAAGTGGACTCATTGTAAACACATTATGGCCCTTCTTGGGAGCTAGCCCTGATGGTATGAGGATTTGCATTTGCTGCTAAAAAGAGTTAATTCAGTAAAGTTAAAAGCATGTATGCAAAAAAAAAATCTCCCTCCACATGTTGCAGCTGAGGAGAACCTCATGCTTGTGGATGGCAAGTATGAAATTAAAAAAGAAACCAAATGGAACTACCAAATCCAGGGACTGATGGGGAAAACAGGGATTCATCACTGTGATCTAGTTATTTATACCCTCAAAGGAATATTGATTGTAAACATTAAGTTTGAAAGTGATTTGTGGAATGAAATGCTCCAAAAGCTGGGAAACTTCTTCGTGGAGTATATAGTTCAGGAACTATTCCACCATGACATACTTTAGTGAAGGTGCTTAAATAGTGTTTTTTGTCTGTGCTGGATTAGATACCACATAATTTTATTTATCTGTCTCTGGATACTTTTAATACATGTTTCATTTACCATTTACATACACTAAGTTGCAATCACTTCCATGTCACAATAACTTGGTGTGCTTTTCTGCTCTCATTCATTTGGCCAGTGGTGGTAGCAAATTGCACAGAGCAGCACAAACACTTAGAATATTGTCTGCAATGGGTAGCATTTGAAGAAGGAAGTTCTCTTGTAGAATTCTAAAGTCCTTAAGACGTCCAATAGCTTGTTCAATATGGATCCGAACACTTGCAATGGTACGGGTAGATTTTACTGCCTTTTTTGAAAGTTACTTTCCTGTGTAAGAGGAGAAAAAAGGATTTTGAATTAAGTAAATACCAATTCAAAAGGTGCTTATAGTAAAGTACTTGCTTTTTTGGAAACCTTTTTTCTAAACAAAACCTATACTAAATTATTGGATGGGTGGAAGTGGCAAACCACTGCCTCACACCAACTTTTTCTGAATTTTCTGGATCCACCCCTGCTATGTAAACATGTTTGGAAGTTAGTAGAGACTACCTTTATCTTTGAGCAGTTCAACTTAACCCTATAATATAAAAAATATTCCAAAGAAACTTCTTCTGTTCAGTTAGAAAGATCCTTTTTTATGAGCAACAAGTTATGGATGCTGTTATATCTTTTTTTTTTTTTTTTTTTTTTTTTTTTTCACTTTGTCCAGGGAGACTTTCTCTTTGATCTTAGCATACCCTCTTCCACTCCTACCTCATTAGCTCCCTTTATTGGAAAGGTACCTTTGCAAAGTGGTGGGATATTAAGTGCAACTTTCTTTCTTGTAAGCAGATCTCTGATGTTGAACCCCTTGTCGGCCATAACAGAATCCCCCTCTTCAAGTTTGTCCAGTAGACCACTTCTTTCTGTGATGTATCTGTCACTGACATTTCCAGTCCATAGTTTAGAAACAAAGGAGAAGTAATCTGTTGGAGTGATTCCCACCAGTGCTTTCATGGTATTGTGCTGTTTATAGTTACTCCATGTAGCTCTCTGGGCATAAGGGGATATTGGCTTTTGGAAAAATATCTCTGTGCAATCTATTATTATTCGAGCGCTTGGAAATTTATTGAAAGAACTTGGCAACTTTCTTAATTTCTTCCTTACAAGGCCATTTAAGAAGAATGTCACGAAAAACTGTAGATACAAAGCAAATCCACGTTGTGAAAACTTTTCTTAACTGATCCTTCTGATACTCCAAAGATATCTGCTTACAAGCCCAAGTCTGAGTCTCACCAAAGTTAAGATAAATTCCTCCATAATGGTCAATAATCTTTGCTTTCCAGGCTTTTTTTTACTTGAATCTTTTTGATAGCTTACTTCTTTTTCTTTGTTTTTGTCCCAATACTCAAGTTTTTCTACAAAAGGGTTGAGCAAATTAAATATCATCATAAAGCAAGCAAGGCTAGGTATACCCGTAAAAAATTTGACAGACTCGTCATCTTTCAAAACATCATCCACAAAGAGCTCTCTTTTTAATTGTTTTTTTGTTTGATAACTTTGATTTAAGTTAGGCGTTCCCTTCTTTTAAAAGCGTCAATTTTACTGGTTTAAACTTCTAGATCTTCATAAGGAAAGTCCGTTTGAGTTCCTTTGTCGTTACGAAGAAGGTGGCAATAATTGTGATTTAAAAGGGCTGCATCGTCGCTTACGAAACAAATGTCTTTTTCGGTAAGGCTTCTCTTTTTAGGTTTAAGACATTTTTCATCAACAGCGCGTCTCTTTCTATCCTCCAGTCTCTTTTCACGGGAAGAAACATGACATGGATGAGTCGAGGGATTAAAATATTTCGGTAATTCACCTTGGGTTAACTTCTTTTCTTCCGCAAAGCGACTTTTTGATGGATGAAGCCTCGAAGTGTGCGCTGCAAATCCGAGGGTTTTTTTGATTTTGGAATTCGGGATCACTACGTCTACAGAAGTTTTTCTATAGCCTTCTAAAGTGCCCTTCCGAAGGAAAACAGAAAAAGGAAAGATCCGGACGATTCCTTGAACTGTTCAAACAGTTTGCCACCCAACAAAAATTCACCATGACTTCTGCAAAACTTGGAGCATTTCAACTTACAATGGAGTTGGTGAATGCATCTGTATTTCTTAATTTTCCCAGCGGTCCTCTAAGCCTCGTTTACATGCAAGTACCTAGTTCTCAGGAGCGCGTGTCCAAGAATTTCGAAAGGACCCTATTGAAACTGTCTTTTGGAGACATGCAATCATACTTTTCACATGCTGACTGCTGTGAAAGTAAATTCTCGAATGCCGTTAGATCCATGAGAAAATAGCGAGTCAACACAATTCTGACCAAGGGCTGCCCATCTTAAGGAGGGTTAACCAGTGGATTACGAAGATTCCTCCCACCATTAAAGACAACCTGTGGACTAACTAGTGACCTCTCCCGTGCATTTGGCTGAGCGAAGTATACGGAATCTATTGATAATAAAATGGCATTTAAACCCGGGCAAATAACCATACATTTCAGTACCTCAGTTTTAAAAGTGTTTATAAGTGAAAATGAATTTTTACCGTGGTGGGTCACCTTGTTCTTGTAAAATACTATGTCATTTCAATTGACGCTTGTTACTTTTTTCTTTAGTTCCTGGTGGACGAATGGCGTCAAAGAATTAGAGTTACCATCAAACTCCTCAATTACTGTTTGCCTTACCGAACACTTTACCAGTTTCGCGGTTCTTATGCAGCACACAAAAGTGGAGGTCTGTAAGAACAAATCTAATCATACAACATGAATTCTTTACGTCAACTGTGTGAAAAGGCGCTTTTTTGAGAATTTAGTCATTCAGATGTACTGCTAATGGAAAACGTAGCCCAAACATTTGGCAAATCTTGCTGAAACTCTCGCAGTTCAGTAATAATAATCGAGCCGGAATGGTTCCTCATTTATGCAACAATGAGCTAATTACAACAGTTTAGCTTCTTTCTATAGTCAGAAAGGGTGTTTTTAATTAACGGACTGTAGACTGATGTGAGTGACTAATTCACTGCCTCAATTTCATCAAATGTGATTGGTGCATTAGCTGCTTAATTTTTCATTTATTATTCTGTAGAGTTGTGATCAGACAGTGTAATTGTACTCAGACAGTTGGCTTTAATCGGAAAGTTGATCGTAAACGGACACCTGTAATAAGACAGTTAAAGCAGCCAATCATACTACGTCCACTCGGCTAAATCCCCCAACCACAAAATGGATTACAATAACCATAGCAACAACCACTTACCCTACAAAACTGGGGAATTCCCAAAATGGAGGAGTTTTTCTCTTTAGACAGTTTCTCTACCAGATATATTTTCTAAGAAAAAAATTACTTTTTTTGGAAATTGTAATTGTTATGATTAACAGGACTTCGAGTCGTCAAATTATGACTGACAATCCGTGATTAACAAATCAGACTCCCGCTTTGCGGTCGTCCTATCTTGTAATCAGTCGTATTATAACAGAACGAATCGGACTCCACTCGGTCCTATTTCCATCATTATTAAAAGTACGAGGTTGATTGAAAGCAAGCCAAAAACAAAACAAAAGAGTTATTCGTGGCGATTCTATATTAAGTGATTTACGATTATATTTCCTCTGGAGTATTTTTTTATAAAAAAACTTAATTAATGAAAAATGTGTTCATATGCGGAGCCCATTTTCAAAAGGTGTTCCCGATTGCAAATTATTTTGTTGTATTCACTGTCCAAGGCAATTCATTTCGTTGTCCTTTATGCGACAATTTTTCTATATCCTTAGTCTCTTTTTGTTCCGGCTAAATGAGGCAACGCTTAAATAACTGTATGGTTACATTTAACACCTGTTTTCGAAATTATAGATGCTATTTCTGTATAAGCTGTTTAGTTGATTTGCTCCAATTTTCAGCTCTCCGAGGAGGATCACCTCGCTCTAAGCATCATAACCTATATAGGCTGTGGAGTCTCAACGGGAGCCTTGATCATCACCGTCATAGTATTCTTGAGTGTCGAGTGAGTGACGCTTTGTTACGACAATTTATTGATTCAGTGAGGACTTGGTCCAGTGGGGAATTTTTTTATTTCTATTACAAAGTTCTCTCCTTTAACAGTTGATTGTTGAAAAAGGTTTCTTTACATATTCACATACAGATGCTTTATTACACATGCACTAACATTATGATTAGTAAAGTCAGGGAAATGTTGCTGACACGAACTAGAAACTAAACCCTAGTAATGAATGTATAGATGAATCTCCAGCTGATTAAACTTTTGTCTTAGGATTATGGAGATACACGCGGCTAAAAGCAATTCAAATTATTAAAAGTGATCTAAGTGTTCACGGGACTGCTGTGCCATGGCATCATGGCCCCCATTTTATTGTTTTGGTATATCACTGTTTTAGTATATCACTTCCTACCGGAAGTCAAATCGCTTTTTTGTATACTTCCTCCACACTCTTCCTCTTTTTTTTTTTTTTTTTTTTTTTTTTTTTTTTAAGGAGTGATACAATTGGTCACCCAACTTTCTTCACAACCGTGGTCAAATTGTCAGATTTTTTCTCAAAATTTGAAAGTCCTCCGATAGGATATCTTTTTATAAAAGATATCTTCGTGGACTCTCACAGTTCTTTCAACTTCAACTTAACACTTTATGTGTTCTCAGCTTATCATTCCAAGCAAAGTACCTTTAGAGCAAACGAAATATGGATCATATACCTAGGTGTTAATTTGCATCAGATTATATATTATTTTCCTCGGAAATCTTATTCTTAGGTTATCTCGATCCATTTTTGCCAGAACTTCACGTTCCCGATGATATCTCTCCCGTAAATACCTCGATGAACTCGACTTCCTTTCCAAATAACTATTTATATTTCCTTGTTTGCTTTGTTTCAGATCCTTGTCATCGAAACGACACAAAATTCATACCAACCTCGTGGTGTCACTCCTTTTTGCTAACGTACTTTTTTTGGCTGGGATAAACGAAACGTCCAGTCCGGTAAGACGATTTTATTCTTATTTCAATATCTATTGTACACCAATTTGTAGTCAGGTCCTGTTATCTTGGAAATTGCTCCTTATAATTTTTCCAAGAAAAATCTACGAGAAATAAAACATATATGTATGCAATAATTTAGAAAAGTATTTATTTTTTCACATCGAGACGATATAACTGTGGTGAAGGGGCCGAAAATGTTACCCCTTTCCTCGTATCCGTTTATCGCTATACTCATGTTATTAAGATGACAGCAACTGTCTTTTCCCTCTGTTCTACTAATAATGCCGTTTACGTTTATTTAAGTAATTTCACATATATTAGCGCTACTATTGGTCCATCAGTTGTCAGCTTTAGTGAAAACCGAAGAAAGGAAAAGGAAAATACTCTTCGGCCTATCCCTGCCACCACACTTATATCGTCTTAGAGTGAAAAAACTAGTCTTAATTTTTGCATATGTTTTTAATCCCACTGGAGTTTTTTTTTTAAATTCTGAAACAAACAAACTTAACTTTAAATTATTTTAAAAAATGTTTTTAATTTGCTACGCGGTAGTTTCTTATCGACAGGAGGAATTAGTTTCAAATTTAGCACGATAAATAGAAACATGTGGAAAATTTGTCCAATTAAAAAAACAAATATAGTCTACCCAATTGATTAAAACCACAATGCATCATAATTTTTAAATGGCTAGATGTAATTGATTGAGACTCCAAAGAAGGATTCCTGAAGTTGTGAGAAGATCTATCGACGATTTTCTAGCCACCATAATTGTGTAAACTAAGTCACATCTATCTCCTATTTTAGGTGCTATGTAAAGTGGTGGCAGTGTCAATACATTACTTCTTCTTGACTGCGTTCACCTGGATGTTTGTGGAGGGCTTACATTTGTACCTGAAGGTTGTCCAAGTATTCAGAACAGAGAATATCCAAATGGTTTATTACTATGTGTTTGGATGGGGTAAGCAGACTTTGTATAAGGTTCAACTTGCATCAACATTTTCACAATCTGTCCACGAGCGTGGGACAAAGACTCTTCAAACAAATGTTTTTGGGGACTCAGAATTTTTTCTTTGTCCCACGCTCGTGACAAGACGAAAAAACTTCTTTCTTATTTCTATCATTGTTATCGTTATCATAATTATCATAGCTACATAGACATTATTACCCTCTTCTCCTTTTTCTTTTTTGTGACCTAGGTTTTTCTGCGCTTCCAGTTGCCATCACATTTGCTATAAAATCAAACAGTTATGGTAACAGTGAAGTGTAAGTATTCCTTGTGCCCTATATTGAAGAAATGTAAAATGGTTTCCGTGTTTACGTAGCCTGATGTAAACACGCGGGAGGTTGGGAGCACACGAGATAAGCGTAGTTTACATACGCTCGTGTAAAATGGTTTCATGGCCAATCAGAGTGCGCGTACTATTTGAATTATTTTATAAAACGAAACGAGGAATTGATTGCACAAACGATTTTTCATTTTTTTCCATCTCTACAGCTGTTGGCTCTCTACTAAGGATGGCACCATCTGGGCCTTCATTGGACCTGTTGTTGCCATAATTGCGGTATGTTTGATATTATCATGGATATTTGTATTTAATTCATTTTGACTTCAACGTAGTCCTTGTAACATAAATATGTGACATAATTTACTTGCATAGATGTTGACTGTACATAACACTGTAGTCCACGTTGCCGGTCCGTCATCTCTGCTTCTTTTCCTGTTTCTTACCTATTTTTTTATAGTAAGGGAAACTAGCATGGAACTGAATAGTGTCTTGCTCGTTCCCGTACTTTTAGTGAAGGGAGAGGTTGCAAAAAATTTGGCTTGCATCCTATCAATTTTGGTATTATAAGTTCAAAATTCTACTTACGATTGTAAAAACGAGGTTAGAGTGAATAAGCCGGGAATGAAAATCTAACTTTATATCGTGAGGTATATTGTAAGCCTACAAGAAGTTTATCACATAAATTTATTTCCAAAAAATTGTTAGCAATTCATCCAGATTGCAAGGGCTCGCTTACAGGCTTCTCTAGGCTATAATTTGTCTACTATGATTCCCACCTTATTTTCAGACTTTGTTGATCTGCATTTTGAAAACAGATTCTAAGCATTGCTCAGCTAGGAGGCTAGGAAAACGTGAATATTGATGAAACTAAGAAAATTTTTGTCTTTTTCTCTTTTCTAGGTAAACACATTTGTCTTGATAATGGTTATTAAAACTGTTGTCTCCTCTGCGTCCGCTGTAAAAAGCTCCGACCACGCCCATTTAAAGTGAGTTTTCATAAACACAGCCAAAAATAAGTAATCAGCTTTATTATTCGGTGCATCTATCGTATTAAGGCCGATTGTTTTTCTTTCATGGATTCATGTTGCTTTCTCAGGGCTGGAATCAAGGGACTGTTTGTGCTGATGCCCCTTCTTGGTGTAGGCTGGATTCTTGGACTATTTGCTTTGAACGATGGCACAAAGGTTTTCATTTATGCATTTTCTATTGTCAATGGATTTCAGGTGAGTGTGTTAAACATGTCGAGTTGTGAAGGAGTCTTGTTACATTTGAATCTAAAACATATGGAAAAAAACACATGATTCACAGAGATGATTAACATCTTATTTCTCCTCATATTATTATATTATCCGTGTGATCAGAAAAGACAAACTTTTAAAGGGTGTCATCTTCATGTAACGTAAAAATCTCACCAATAATAACTGTGGACATAAAGCAATAAAAAAGGAAGATTTTGATCCAGTCTTGAGGGTTGAGCTTGGTGAAGCTGCTGATAAATAATTGGCTGAAGTAATCCTAAAACTCCAGTGTCTTAGTTAAACTTTCCTGGTGCGAATGAGGAATTTACTCGGTTGAAACATTTTAAACTGGTGCTTTAACAGGCTTCTGGTGTCAACACGCTTTGAACATCGGGAGAGAAATAAGATCAAAGAAAAGTGTGCAGGAAGCATTGACTTCAGGCTCATTCAACTTTCCCCTTTCTATGATATTCATAAAACATCCTGCGTGCTTAGGTTAATTCTTAAATATTTCACCGTTAAACAACGTCGTCTAATTTTTTTTCTTAGGGCTTCCTGATTTTCTTGCTGCACTGTGTTTTTAACGATGAGGTAGGTGAGGTATGTCAATAATAATAAAGAATTGGTCCATGCTTAGCGTATCTATATCGAGTTATGGATGCACGCGGGAAGTTTGGAGAGCACGAGAGAAGCGTGAGAGTTGCTTGAGGTATAAACCGAGAGCAACTGTAGCTTTTTAAGTGTTCTCCAAACTTCCCAAGTGCATCAAGCACAGCTAAAGCATGAACCAATTCTTTTATAACATAGCATGCAGATACAAGTTTTGCTCGAAGGAAAGAGTACATTACTACTGTGTCGGGTCAACCAGGTAATCGTGTTCTACCCGAAAACTATGAATAAACGACAAGGCAAAAACGACTTAGAAATATTTCATGACCAAATCTTTTTAAAAGAATTGAAAATGTTCTGCTCAGAAACGGAAAAACGAACAATTTCTTGCATGTACGAGAACATGTTGTAGAATCAGCATGCTTGAATCGTTGTTTGCTAGAATTAATGGCCAGAGAATTGCGTAGGTTTGTGTCGAAAATTTTTAAGATTCTGAAATTGTACGGTTTTAAAATTAAAATATTTTATTGAACGAAACACTTTAAGAAAATATCAACACTTTAAAATAATATCAACCGTTCTAAAGACGAACCTAAAAACTTACAAATTTCTTTCATGCACGAGACCTACGTGGTAGATTTACCCTGCTTGAATTGGTGTTTACTAGAATTTACAACCAGAAAATTGCGTAGCTTTTTGCTGAAAGTTCTGAAAATTGTACGATTTCAAAACATTTAATAAAACTTTTTGATATGGCGTATCAACACTTCAAAATAATATTTACCGTATGATGAAGATTACCCAAAGTCGCAAAGCCTCATGCAGTTGAAGTCAGAAGCCATGCATGATTTGGGAATGAAGTATCATCAACTCCAAAACTAATTTCGTCGCTTGAAAGAGCTACATACTCATTGTTTTTCGGAACGAACATCAAACGAGCATGTTTCGTTTTCATTTTGAGCTCTAAAAGGTCTATCTCAATCGAGATAGAGCGGGGAAAAAATCTTGAAAGTTTTGGAACCTCACGGCTAAACTCAACGGGAACTTTTAGCCGAAGTTAAATTGCACACATCGTGTGATGAATGCACGGCCGTGCAGTACATAAGGACATTTACCATGGTAGCTCCTTAGGAAATATGTAGGCCTTAGGCGCGCTCTATGTTATAACAAGGAATATCTCACATAACCAGAATTACATGGCACTTTCTAGGTAACACGTGACGCAGACACAATCGTTAGTCAAAGAAATCGTCATTCAATTTTTAGTGGTTTCTATTTCTTGAAAGCTCCATAAATCAATGACACGTAGTGAAAAAAAAATATTACTTTACACTAAATATATTCTTTTCAGGTCCGCCAAGCTTTTCGCCGGCAGAAAGAGAAACATTCTCTCACAAAGGAAAATATATCTCAATATAATGCATCCTTCTCACTCTCGGTAAGAACTTACAATGAACTTACAATGCAATCACTCTGAACAGAATTGTGAAAAAGGAAAAGAGTTCACAAGAATGACGCCAGGGAACAACGTTATTTTCAATTTCATGGAGCTAAATCTAAACTCAATTTTGACAAAATTTCGGGTTTTCAGTGACGAAGTTAGGAGACATCATATTTGCGTTTTGGGCGGAGTCATGTGGAAGCACAACCAACTACATTGCAGATTTCTAGGTCTTCAATTAAGTGATGGTTGGTAGCAAATGTTCCCACTATGTTATTTCTTTTTCGGCAGTCGGAATCTGGAAGCAAGAAAACGTCGAACTCCAACAGTTTTAGTAAGCTCAAAGGTAAGATGCCCTCTTGACAAAATAAGTGAATATGGATTGACTATAGAGTCATCATAGATAAATAACAAATAAATTTTAGATTATAAATGGCGGAAAAAAAAGCGGATATTGACAAAGTGATCACCAATGCAGGCACTGAGAAAAGAAGCCTCAAAAGAAAACAAAAGGAAAAATCTAGGGGTTTCTTCCAGGATTTCCTTTCTATCCACCATAAATTACATTGCTTTTACAGTGACGACTTGTTATCCGTGATATTGTCGAACAGCGTCACATGATCAGCTGTTCATACTTCACTCATTTCAAGTTCTCGTTTACTGTACTGTAGCCGAACGAAACGATTCTCTCAAAAGAGAAAGGACTTGGGCTAGTAATGAATTTATTCAGTTGTCTCTATAATCTTGTCTCTAAATATGGACAAATTTCAACTTGCTGTAGGGAGACTTTCTTTCAAACGCAAGAGCTCAGCCAGAGTTGTTCAAGTCCAGGTTGGTGTTCTGTGTTTATTTAGGTTGTATCTCAAATTGATATTTTGATTGAAGGATTCTAAGACTAAATGACTAAATTATAAAACCGTCCTTGCCTTTTAGCCTGCTAACGACAATCATGACGTCACCGACAGTTCGTTCCAAGTAAAACGAACCTTCCATGAGAGTAACAGGCTGAGCGTGACGGCACAGGAAAACAAAATGTCTTCATTAAACTGCCCCATGGTAAAGTAACATAGCAAGGGAGACTGTTCAATGAGCTGTGCGAGTTGAAAGAGTTACTAATATTAAATTACAACGTTTTCTAAAACGGAAAAAAATGGGGTTAGGTGTTCATTCCAAGTTTGGAACTGACGCACTGGTCATAGACGCCCTGGTCATAGAATGATGCGACTGACAAAAAAAATTCCCGCGAACTATGGAACAAATGCAAGAATTTAGCATATATTAAAGCATTTAAATTGTCAGTGAAATCCTCAATTATGTTAGTCGAAGGTCACCATCATTTTGCCAGTATTAGACTCTTCATGCACAGTTTTTAACATGCATCTTGCGCGATGATCTTACTCGTCTTTCCGCACTCCAAACGTCGCTGCAGTTCTGGATTTAATACTTTGTTAGAGACGTTACATTAGTGTCTAAATGATACAATTTTGATCAGGATTTCATCATCATTTACTCCACATTCGGTGGCCAGAGGATAACTTAATTTCCTGCACTGTTATGTCGACTAAATGAATATGCGCTTTCTTTTTTTAGGATTCGGAAAGAGAAGTAGCGCCCAATAATCAGCAGGCAGCCATCGCAAAAGGGAAGCGGAGTCGTCCTTAATGACCTGGCTTGAGCAGTCCACAGTTACTAATGTTGTCACCACTTTATAAGGAAGAATCCGTACTTAAATAACAAGATGAACATGCATGGTTAATCGTGATTCTTCCTTTGAACATTTTTTTCTTATCAATTTGGATATTGTGTTCCTAACCTACAATGATTTTTGACTCATGACAACGAAAAATAAAGTGAATGGGTTGGTACTTTGGTTTAAAGTTCGCGTAAGGATTAACGGAGGTGACCAGACAGAAAAATTGTTTTGTTGTCGTACTACACAGCCTGTACTTAATTTGACAAAATGGTTTTGGCAACTAGCGATTTCACCTTGAACCCTGAACTCGAAAAAAAGTAGTTAATAGTTTTAAACAACAAAGACGAATACTGGTATGAATGCAGTTTCTTTACCTTAGATACGAACAGCATCAGGAGGTAGTTAACAATGAAAAGTTTATGAGAGAGTTGAAATAAAGAAGCAAAAGACAATTGTCATGATTGTTAACGGAAGTCATACAACAGCGTCAAAGCTTTCCTTTTCCTTTCCTGTCTGCTTTAAAACCCGTTATTTCTATTTTTGCGATCAACTGAAGGTTGTTACAATAATAATTTTTATATGAATGTGAAAGCGAATTTAGCAGTAATGAATACTGCTTGAGCAGTAGTGAAAATAAGGCCTGAAAAAATTCAGGCCTGTAAGGGATTTAATACCGACGCGGTGCTCTACCAACTGAGCTAACAAGCCAACTGGGAGTTTGTCATTATATAGCGACTAAACATCCAACGACTAAACATTCCTCTTTTTAAAACTGCAACAGGACAAAAAACGCTTTATTATAAAAGTGTATCTCTCTGGAACAAGTTAGATCCAAGCCTTAACTTATGTAAGAGTCCCCCTTCCTTTAGGAGAGCTCTAAAAATCACCTTTTGAATGAATGTTTAAACTGACCATATTTTATTTAAAGATATATAATTCGTATTGTAGTGTATGTATTTTAATTCTGTAATCCAATTTGTTCACTGAAAAGCCCCAGATGGGGATGTATTCAATAAATGTATGTATGTATGTAGGTTCTTAACAAACCCGTGAAGTAATGAATAAATGACTGTGAACATATGAAAATCATATATGTGAACTGCGGATAAAGACGTGAATTTGAAAGCGATCTTCGCAGTAAAGATACCACTTGAGATGTAGTGAAAGTAAGGCCTGAAAAAAAATTCATTCAAATTGAATTTTTTTCAGGGATAAGTGATTGGCCTTTAACGCAGCTTTTACGATGTTTTCAGGTCTCTGCGCGGGGTGAATCGATTGCCTGCTAGTTAGTTTGTAAGGATGGACTTTGAGCAAGCATTTAGGAAACGAAAAAGGAACAACAGCAAACTCTAGCAGCGACTGGTTTAGATTCCAGTGAAGTCCTCCTGCTTCTGCTCCTGACGCAAAAGCTGATGATTCTACAGGTGACTGCGCTTGAGCCGGGATGACTAAAAAACAAAGAAAAACAGCAATGTTTTGAAACTCTTATAAAAACACCCATTTATTCGCCCCTAACATACGACTTACCTCAGAAAACTTTCCTAACTTTTTCTTGATCTACTTAACAATGAAAACATGCGAAACAAGTTTCTTCTGACTCTGCTTTGATATTGTTCTGTTATTTTAATGTACTTTGTTATTATTTCAAATAAGAATAAAATTATTTAACAAATATTGTACTATTTACTTGTTTCAAAATAACTTTAGGAAGCAAAAATAAAAGTTGTTACTTGATGTGTTATATTTTGCAATATTTTGCAATATTTTGCAAAATTTTGAGGCTACTACTTGACCCTGAGTTTACTGAAGAAAAAAAACTATGGAAGATTCACATTTTGAAATTTTTAAGCTGGTGATGTTTCAAGATTAAAATTATATCATTACTTCACTAAAAGGAAAGATGAAGTAAAATTATTTCTGTCAGTCTGTTACAACTTTTAGTTCAAGTCTTATTTTTCAAATGTTGCTTGTAGTTACTAAAATGATACTCACCTTACGATTGGAGTTGACTTCCATCTTCTTGTACAACAATATGCTCACAATGGCCATGAAATCAAACAAGTCAGGAGCTCAATCTATCATTTCTTTGATAAGCTGCTCCAATTGAAACCTCAAGGGAAAACTTGGTGCTATTCATTGTTACATGTAACACATAAAAGCCAGCAGTTCCGTGTTTCTGTCCACATTGGCCTCTGCACTGTTCACCAATCTCCTCTGGAAACTGATATTTAGCACAAGATTTGACACTACAAGAAGGTCGCAACAGCTGGAAACCTTGTCTGTGATGCAACCCATAGCATATGTACCTCATCCTTTCTTAATTCAGTATTTGCATGTTCTGTCAACTAAATATGTGTATTGATAAATATGGTCATTTTGAATGAACTAAACTCTTTTGCATGTTTCTGATCATAGTAAATTGGACAAAAATATATTGACATAGAATTTTGAATGACACACACGTATAATGTAATTATGAAAAAAATGCTTTTCACAAACCAGATGTAAATGTAGCATCATATAAAACCCTCATACTCAAGGACCTCAGGATTTCTATGGCCAGCCTTCCCAAGTATTTTAATCCCTGTTAATTGCCTGGTTAAATTAGTGTTAAGGCATAGGTAATAGAAAAGAAGGATCTAATGGGTCGCAAGGATCATAGATAAATATGAAACGATTACCTCTGTGTTTTCCATCAGAAGTGTCTTCTCGGGGTACTCGAGACGTGGGTATAATGGATCTTTTGAGTGGTTTACTTGTGGTAAAGCAGATATTGAAACTGTGGCCTGAGAAGGGCTTCGGATGGCGACAGACCTCGTTTTTGTTTTTTAAATCAAATTCTTCGCGATTTCCTTACATATTTAGGCTTCTCGATTTCTTCTTTGATACTGAATACTATACTATACTGATGTCGAACTCTTTTACAATAGTACATTTCCGTACGCTCGCACGGCCTCTACAATATCTTCTTTTCTGCTTTTCACTCAAAAAAAAATTAATTTAATGATTTATTTCTTGTTATACGTCTTTGACAACAACGACAGCAATCCACCGTTCCACGAAGAACGGCTTCCCGCCATTGCAGCAAGCAGCGACTTTGGATAAATGTTTTCTCACGCATCGACAGGCAGTTTACAAGTGAAAACTTTCACGCAAGAAAAAAAAAACGACAATAACATCAGTAAGAACAGTTCAAATTTATCGTTGTTAATGCTATATTTCCGACCCGATCGATCCCATTCGTAAATCACACTTCCTGTTTTGTGTCTTGTGTTTCCTATCAACCAATCAAAAAAATTGAATCAATCCATTCTCCCAGGAGGTCACTATTTGGCGATCATACCGCTGACAAGGAGCCATAATGACCCTGGGCTCGACATTGCTACATCCTCTATCTTGATTGGTTAAAGTCGTCATACTAGTTTCAATGCTTGAACCGGAGAAAATGCATAACTAGCTTAAAAAGTTTAACTGCTCAAACTGCATAATCTGGCTTAATTGGGTAAAGAGGTTAAAATAGTCAAACAAGTTTAATTGGTTTAACACTGGTTAAATAGTCAAACTAGGGAAAACAGGTAAACTGCGCAACTGGGAAATCTATCTAAATTGGTTGAAGTAGTTCAAATGGTCAAACTAGCTTAAATGGTTCAACTGCAAAAAATGCATATCTAACTGAATAGGTTCAACTGCACAACCTGCACCATCTAGATTAATTTCTTTAAATGGTTAAATATTCAAACTAGCGAAAAACAGTAAAACTGCGCAAATTGCACAATCTATCCTAAATTGCTCAATTAGTTGAAACGGTCAAACTAGCTCAACTGGTTTATGTGGACAAAATGCATAACAAGCCTAATAGGATACATGAGAAAATTACTCAGTTCTGATTGGTTAAGATAAATGTAGTTTTCAGGTAATTCAGTGCAGATGAGGGTTAATTCATTGCAAAGAAGTAACAAACCAGAATGAACAATTGCTTGAACTGTTTAGCCGGACTTTAAACTTTTTTGCACTATAAAGATGTGAAAATATCATTGTATATTATTGTTTTGATTGCACGTGGTTGTTTTAGACCGAACGCACAATGTCTCTTGCAGGGCTTGAATGAATTATTTTTGCACTTGATGCGCGCGCTTTGTTTCTGCATAATTATGATAAACTGTCTCGTATTTTTTTCATGTATATTTTTTATTATGGTAATTGAACTGAGAGGAGTGTAATTTGAGCTGAAATCATACACGTGATTTCAAAATCGAACGAGTCCGCAGCGCGAGCTCGATTTGAAATCACAAGTATGATTTTAGAACTAATAATATACATGAAAAAATTACTCAGTTCTGATTGGTTAAGATAAATGCAGTTTTCAGGTAATTCAGTGCAGAAGAGAGTTAATTGAGTGCAGAAGAGGGTTAATTCAGTGCAACGAAAGAAAGAAACCATACATTCTGATTGGCCAATAATCAAAGAAACTCACAGAGAGCCAATCAAATACGAGCCTTGGATGTCGCAACAAAATTTGAAAATGTGAAAATTTGCGAGCGAAACAATGGCCGGCGTTTTAAGTAGGTTTTCTTTCGCCACCGCAGCTGAAAAACAGCTAAAACAATGAAAACACTGTAAAAGGCACTGCTTTTTGGTTGTCGGTTTGGAAAAAGTGGTGTTTAGAGAAGGGAATTGCCGAGGAAATCGAAAATTACGAGCCGACCCGGCTGAACACTTTGCTCGAGCGATTAAAAACAAACATGGTTAAACCTCGGAAACGACGATTCCATTTCATCAAAAGTGATTCGGACACAGACTGAACAATTCCTTGAACTGTTTAGCCGGACTTTGAACTTTTTTGCACCTTAAAGATGCGAAGATATCATTGCATATTATTGTTTTGATCGTACGCAGTTGTTTTGACCGAACGCACGGATTGAATAAATTATTTTTTGCACTTGATGCGCGCGCTTTGCTTATGTTTAATTATGATAGACCATCTCGTATTTTTCCATGTATATTATTAACAGGTAATCACATGATTTTTCTCGTGAAATTTGGAATAAACAAGCACTTGTTAATTTTTTCAAAGACCACAAATTGCACTCGCCCTACGGGCTCGTGCAATTTTGTTAGTCTTTGAAAAAATTTACTCGTGCTTATTTATTCCAAATTGCACTTGAAATCATGTGATTACCTATACGAATGTTACGGCCGCCATCTTTGATTTTAATGGCAGCAGAAGGCTGGGGAGAGTAAAAATTTATACCAAGGGGGCGGCCGACGGTCAAAAATAAGGAGAGGGGTGGGGGTAGGGGAGTGAAGATTTTCTCCCCTCCCCCGCCTCCTACCCCGACCGTCCACTCTAACTGCAAATCAATAATGGCCGGTCGAACAAACGATCGCGAGCTTTTAGCGTTAGCTCGCACGAACAAGACGCCTGCACTGCAGGCTAACGACGAAGGTCCTAAGCTGTTTGAAGATACCACTGACAAGCATGCGTGTTGATCGTCTTGCAAGTTGTGGGAACATCGTCCCCGGGTTCCAGACCTTTTCAATTCTTTCCCCCCTACCCACCCACTTAACTGGTCTCTTAATCCCCTTGAAGAAACTCTTCTACAGCCATTACAGTCTTATTTTAGTTTATATTCAGTGCAATGAAGGGCTGGAAAATAAACTAACTAGAGCTCCGCTTTTAGGCCTGGTTAAATATATATATTTAAACTAGCGAATACAGTTAAAGTGCACAAATTGCACCATCTATCTCAACTGGCTGAAGAACCTAAAATGGTTAAACTAGCTTCAATTAATCAACTTCACAAACTGCAGAATCTAGTGTGAAAACAGGTTTTTTGCCTTCACAAATAAACGGACGGATGGGAACAACTCTATAAACTTCCTCTGGAAAAAGGCTTTCCTGGGGGCACTCGCTGGCTGCGGGACGGCCGGGATCTATTACGGTTGTTGACTATCCTCGAGACAATGACTAACAGCAACAAGGTTGGCTCCAACGTAGATTTATTCTGCAAGTTCTACTGCACTTTTTGGCCCCTTTTTTGCCCCCCACTCGAAAACTCCGCAAAACAGCTCTATTTAAGCACAAAGTACAAAGGATTAGGTAATGCCATGAATTATCTAAAGGATCACGCAACCTACTTCAATGATTGGTTAGGCAGGAATTTCGCCTTTTACAAGATTAATCACTTTCGAAAAGCTCTGGTGGGTAACAACTACACAAAAGAACATGACAGGTGACGGTTACAGTTTAACACTAATTACAGTTATGATCTAATAACAACTGTTTACGGTTGACTGAGTAGGAACTGGTAGCACTTGCGCTTTGCTGAACTTAGAAAGATCTCACAGTTTCTACTTTGAATTTTATATATATATATATATATATATATATATACATTTTTTTTTAAGCGCTAGCATAAAAACTCGATAAATTAAAATCCTATCGTTACACTAGCTAAATGACTTGAAGTAGTTAAAATAATGAAACTGTTTCAATTGTTTCAACTGGCTAAATAGTCAAACTAGCAGAAATAGTAAAACTCCACAAATTGCAAAATCTATCTCAATTGGTTAAAGTGGTTTAAATGGCTAAACTGACTTCAATGTTT